TTGTACTTTTTTTTACGTTATTTCCCTTTCTTTTTTTTCGGTACATACAACATTATATCAATACATACCAGTTCCAAAATGGCAATTCTGTTGATGAGCTAAGAAAATAAAAATTTGAAAAGTCATGTTTAGACGCTAGTCAGTTTAAAAACTTTCTAGTCTCTAAAAGTATAGCTTACACTAAAAATCTGTCTTCTTTCAACAAGAAGTCACTCTTTTTTTGTTCATGTATTGAAATCGCCGCTCACTGAAAAGGGTTCAGAATTTCCTGAGTAAACTGGATTGCAATAATTTGAAAAATTCAAATTAGTGGATTGCAATGATTTGAAAAATTCAAATTAAGCTTTTGTAATCGGCCAAGCCTTTTATGCATAGGCTAGAATGTGCTATGCAAATTTGCATAAGCGCTAATGTTGGCAAACGAATCTCAATTTTATCATAAAGTAAGCACCTTTTGACCTTGAAATGCAATTTCTGACAGCAAATTTTACTTTTAAGAGCATGTCCCAATTGTAACAAGCTTGCTGAAGTAGGGCAAACGAAGAAAAGAACGAGAAGAAGACTAAAGTAGTTTTGATCTATCTAAGAGGTTTCTAGAAACCATGCAGCAGATCTTTCGTCCTTATTCTGCTAAATCACTTCAGCAACGCATTTTTGAGCAAACTTTTTCAGGCTTGCGCAAGGTTCCATATTTTTGTCATTTGGGTGACACCATCTCATGCGTTTTGGGTTTTGCAGCAAACATGTCGCATGACCATTTGGAGGAGACGCCTGGAATATGGAGTTTTGCAATTTCGCTACGTGCTCTGGCAGTTGGCCAAGCACGCGTTAGGGGGGCGGAGCTTAAGCCAAGATGCGTGCTTGGCCTTTGGATGACCATTCCGGTCTTTCGTCAGCTGAGGGAGCGGTTGGTCTTACTGCTCCTCATGTATTCTAAGAAGACAAGAAGATGGCATGGCTATTATTTCTGTGAAGAAGGCAAGAAGATGCATGGCTACTATTTCTGTGAAGAGGTCACCGGCAAACATAGAGGTACAGTCTGCCCCAATCCCAACCAGGCCAAAATCGGCATGGCGGGAGACCGCGCCGCTAGGGTTCTGAGGTTACGCCCATGGCCTGCTTCTCTGCCCTCTCTTCACTCTTTTTGCTCTCTCCAACAGCACGCACATGCAGCGCAGACCGCTAGCCCTGCGAGCGTGCAAATTTGCGCCGACGTTTCGGCCTGATCCCGATTGGAGCAGATTGTAGTTTGAATTGTGGTTTTACAATCTCATTCCCTGAGATTAGTCATGTAGTACATCTAGTTTCAACATAGTCGATTACCAAGTAAGTGCTATCCAGTGTATATATTGGCATAATCGATAAGCATATTAGCATTAGAAAAGTGCCAGCAGATCATGTAGTATTTATCGACTTCGGGATTGTCCCAGTAAGGCTAGGAGGAGGTCAGTTTCGGGTCGCGTTCACAAGCGCATAGTCTTCACAGTTCAAGTGGTAGAGATGAATGGTACTCATAAGCGTTTGACTTATATCAGAGCTACAACAGCTATCAAAATCATCAGGTGGTCATGTGGAGACTGACAATGCATAGAACGCATTCTCCGCAAGAGTCAACGGGACTCGTGCGATATCCGTGGTTATACTTCAACGCTTATTTATAAATCCAACCTAGATAATCCCTTTCCAGGACGACAGCAGTAGGCTTGTCAACTTCAGTTCGCGTTTGTCGAACTTATTCTGCGGCACCATGGTCCTGTTTTGAATCTATTAGGACTGAGTGGATCCGTTCCTCTAGAACGTCTTATGTGCCTAGTGAGAGCTATCTTCAACTTGGGAAAGATTCCCTTATCGGAGCTAATCGCTGCTTTTTCTTTTTGTACGCAACTGTGACTTGTCACTAGTTTTCGTCTGCTTTGCATATCACACTGATGAGGGCAAGTAGAGGGCTTGGATAGATTGGACACTTGGGCATCGGAGACTATCTGCTAAATAATCACGTGAAGAGGGAAGATTACGGTACGGTAATTGATGTCGGTTCGTATACCGAAGCATCCGGGGTTCTGATTTAGACTAGAACTACAGTTAGTATCACATCAGCCTTCCTCCTTGGGCCGGGGTTAGCAAGTAGATTTTGGTATGGCTTTTTGCTACTTATATCGGCTCACGTGCCGAGTTTATAGGTCTCGTACTAAGTTGATCGATGATGCTGAAGCCTTTGGACCGAAAATTTATCATTACAATATGTGTCTCCTGATAATACTGAACCGGCTCCTGTGCCGAGGATTCCTGGATCTCGCTCCAGATCGCTAGTCACTCAATAAAGTTTGATGCCAGCCCTTGGGACCGAGTACTAGTGACTAGGCATATTTAGTGTATCGATACCGGCTCCTGTGCCGAGGATTCCTGGACCTGTTCCAGTGGGGATAATTGATAAATCAAGTTTTGAGGCCGGCCCCTTGGACCGAGTATTAGTGACTAGATATGTCTAGCGTATCGATGCCGGCTCCTGTGTCGAGGATTGGATCTCGATCCAGTGTTGTTAACCAATCAATAAGTTTGGATGCCGACCCCTTGGACTGAGAATTAGTTAGGCATGTCTATAGTACTGATGCCGGCTCCCATGCCTAGGACCTGATCTCGTTCAGGAGGTGATAACCAGTCAATAAAGTATCGATGCCGTCTAGGTTAATTAGTGGTTCTTTATAGAGTGCCCATATAGTGCCGGCTTCTGTGCCAAGGATCCATAAGTCTCGAACTAGAGGTGGCAATCACTCTGCTTCATTGCATAGTCGGTTACTAGACCGAGTTTTATCGATTTGTTGGCTAGAAAGGTAGTCACTAAGTGGTACTGGATGCCCTCTCCCATGCTGAGGTCTCTGATATGTAGAATGATTGATTATGTTCACCCGAACTGCTGCATAGTATTCAGTTTTCAATAGGGATATTTGGTTTGGATTCTGTGTTCCGATATGCAGCCATTCTAGTGCAACAAGGATTCACAATTAAACCAAGTTTAGTAGGATACATAGCAGTTGAGTTGATGCTGCCTCGGGATAAGAATTACTGGTTACGATTTGCGGTCAATCAATATCTCTTTTGAGCCGAGATCATTGAGTTGTATAGAGTGGCGCTGACTCAATGAAAAGAGCTGATTTGTGCGGCAAACACCTGGAGACAAATTATTAGGCAGCATGAATGTGTCAGCAGTTGATGCCGGTCTTCTGCGGCATCTAGGTATGAGACCGTCGTAATTACTGAAGGCAGTCTGGACATAAATGAGGTGGATAACCCCAAAATGGTGAGCGTAAGTCAGGACAACGCCTTGCTGAGCGGGGATAGCGTTCACACGCGTCATTACTGTTGTCTGGAACCTTGCTAAAAGAATGTCAATTTTTACAGAAATTGCCGTGTAGTAGGTTTTGGAAAAATGAAAATGAGACTTTCGAGTTCTGCACAAAGTGTCGATTGGGTCTAAATGGTAGCTGCTAGCTCATCAGCTCTAGAATTTGAGGCGGCAGCGTGAAAAATCCTGATACACATGTAGTATAAGCAGATGTGTGCCAGAATTAGCAGGTATTGAGATCCTGCCCCATCCCGGCCTGCTTCGTTGCAAAGTTGACACGGCGTATTTCTTGATGCAGTGGTGACGAGAGAGCCTTACAACACAGTGCAGGGAGGAAATCGGTCAGATGATTTCGCGTGCTCTACTATATATATTTACATGGCTATATTCACTTCCACAATAAGTTGCCAAGGGTGAATAGCCCAGTTAGGAATTCACTTCTTTGTTATTGCATTGGGTCAATAGGTAAGTGGTGGCAAGAGTGGAAGCGGCCGGCCTCTTATAGCTGCGGGTAAGCTTCAGAAGCTATCTTCAGCCTATCTATTTTGGTAATTGCTGGGTTCTTTTTGTGGCGGAACAAAGTTTCCAAACTAGTTTTATATCGAGCTTACAGATTCAGTGCTCTTAGCAAATCTCATGCGTATCTAAGCAGTCGTGAGGAGTGCCTCTTAGTTCACTATCGCCTTTACTGATAGGAATCTGAGAGATGGAGCTGGTTTGGGAAAGCTGCCCATAGACGAGTAACATGCATGAAACATAGTGAATGAGCACTCGGCTAATAGTCCCCGAAGGAGGCTCGCGCGATCATGTTTTTCGCTATTCCTGTGAAAGCGTTAAAGACAGACCCTATCATATATAACTTAATGTTATTATCTGTTGTTGGTAAATTCGACGCCTGGCTGCTATTCAGTCCTGGCACGTGCCGTACGTGTGGATACGGAGATCTTGAAGCTTTCGTAAAGTCTACTCAAATTCTGACGTGAATGCAAACGCGCATTTGTGTTGAAAATCCGGCAGTACATCTTTGGACTTCATGAAGAGACCCCTTTTTACCAGCGTAGAATGGGTTAGCGGTGAATGTTGTTGAGAATTGTATTTCTCTGCTTACTTTAGTTCACGTTAATAGGGTAGGAGGGTAGACTACGGCAGACGATCTGAGAATACGTCACAAACCAGAATTCGGATTGCTTGTGAGTATCTTTGCTTTCGTGTTCTTTCTGGGAGGCTGTTCGTAACGTTGGTGTCCAAGGAAGGACGCGGCGCTTTGGTTCACTCAGTGGTACTAGTCTTTTCGCTTCGGTCTACCACATTACTCTTTCATTCCCTCCCCCGGACTCAACCCCCGGGCTTTAATATTTCCGTTTCTTTGTTGCGAAATGCAAAACAGAGGTTTTGCCGTAGAATATCGGAGGCAAAAAATGGAGTTTTGCAATTTCGCTACGTGCTCTGGCAGTTGGCCAAGCACGCGTTAGGGGGCGGAGCTTAAGCCAAGATGCGTGCTTGGCCTTTGGATGACCATTCCGGTCTTTCGTCAGCTGAGGGCCCACCCGCCCACCCTTGTTGAGGCCTCAGCTGCTATAGACTGTAGAAGAGGTCCCTTAGGGCCAGGATAGAATTTCAGGTTCTCCAGGGCCGCGGAACCACAGAAGCAATATGCATGAACAATGGAAGGACGCAACGTGAGGGTCGACATGCGGAATGCAAATGCCGCGACTATCCGCTTCTTGGAAATGGTCGGCATTCGATATGGGCAGTGATGGCATCCACAGTTTTGGGCAGCATCGTCTGGCTGGATCCGGCACCCGTCAGTATCGTTATCACATCCTGAGTTGCAAATTGAGAAATGATTTTGTTAATAGTTGTTGGGTATAACTGTCTCGCAGGCAACTCTGTCGCGAATTCATAAGTTTCTCCTTGCTATGCTGTTCTTACCGGACTTCTTTGAGGCAATTTCTTGTTGTTCATAACGTTACCCTGCTTTGTGTTCAAGACGCTGAATAATCACATACTCATGTGTATTAGTTGATTACTTGCATTGAGAATTATCATATTACTGTATGCAGTCGTATATTAAGTTTTGTTTGTGTTGGGAACTGTCCCATTAATGTACATACGCTGACGAATGAAACTCCACCTCCGTTTCCTTGTTGCGAAATGCAAAACAGAGGTTTTGCTGTAGAATATCGGAGGCAAAAGCGAAGTTTCGTTGACTTTTACTTTATGTGGCATAAATGACAAAATCACAATCGGTAGATCAGAAGGTAAACTCGCTGTGGTATTGTGGGTTAGTAAACCATCAGCATCAAGTATTGCCAGTATTGTGTGTATACTTATTCTACACAACACAATCACCGGATATGGGATGGCCGAGCTAACACCAAAGAAAAAGTCGGTTACAAGAAGGCATATCAAGAGCTTTAAAGGCAGCGTCCAGGCAGATCTGGACCTATGGGGCTTTTACGTGGAAAGTACTTTTGGGGCCCTAACTGAGGCACTGCCCAAGCGGCAGCTTAGGTAGTGCTCTAGTGGCTGAGATATTCCCCTCGAAACTGGCCCCCGCGAACGTATTCGCATGGATTCATGGCAGTTTCGCGCCAAGATCCACGCTTTGCGCCATGAATCCATGCGAAACACTGTCGCGGGGTCCAGTTTCGAGGGGAATATCTCAGCCATTACAGCACTACCTGAGCTGCCGCTTGGGCAGTGCCTTAGTTAGGGCCCCAAAAGTACTTTCCACGTAAAAGCCCCATAGGTCCAGATCTTCCTGGACCTGCCTTTAAGGATATAAATCGAGAGCTGATTGGGCCAGCTAATAACGAGTTGTTAATCTTGGATAACTTTGCACGTGCAAAGTTATCCAAGATTAACAACTCGTTATTAGCTGGCCCAATCAAGATCACATTCGAGTAGTAAGTTCTATACCGGAGGACACTGCTTATACAAAAGCTCTTGAAGCTGTGCCAAACCCAGCCTTACGCCAAAATTTCGTTAGTGAAAGCCGCCCCAAAACAATTGATCTCATTGCCAAGTATCCGCAGTTACCTCAAAAAGATACAGTAGCAGATTTGGCTTACCCCTTCTTGTTTGCATTTCTAGCGTCTACGATGAGAACAAAGAAAAGATGTGATTTCATCTTCTTCCAGAAAGTCGGAAATTTAAAAAAAAAATCACCAAGAGCAAGATCACCTTCATTGACGACTTCAATCATAACACCTTAGGAAATAGGTTAGGAAGAAGATCGTTCAGATGTAAGAGCAGTGGCTTCAATAATGATGTACTTCCATCTTCCAAGGAAAGGATGCTCAGTGACAGCGTCTTTTGATATTTGACAGATATGGTATTTGCCTTGTAACTGTCCAAAATTATATTCCCTAACTGGAGAACGTCTCTGAAGCGAGTCATGAGCGGAGTATCCTCTCGAGTTTAGGTGCTTGCACAAGAATTCGAGTAGATTCTATAATCGTCAAAGGGGTAAATGGTATAGTGGTGATTGTGCGGAAGATTATTACACGAAGGATGCATGATCTCCGTTGTGCGGCCATGTTCCTTCTTGTTTTGACTAACGCTGTTCTCTTTCAGAAACCTCCTTCGTAAATGATGAACAAATTCTTTGAGATCAGCGTTTCGAAACGAGCATTTCGATACATAGCATATGTCAAAAGACCGCGGTCACCTAATATCCTTCACTTTTGAATTCATGTTATGCAGCGTCGCTTACATCTCTATAGGTTGAGCACACTATATTTTACTAATAGTGGAAGAAACCATCTCAAGCTGGCGTTTGAAGACGAGTTGTATACCGCTAGATGCGTGTCCTTGTATTCTATTCATTTGCTTTCCTTTTTTTGTGGAACAAATCTTCGTTGAGTTATGAGCGTTTTAATGTCCAAATGCAAGCTTTGAGTGGCATAAAATTAGCGAAAAGCTCTTCAAAAACACTTGGGTAATCAATTTTGTATCAAAGTATTGATACAAAATTACAACTACAAGCAAGGAATAGCCAGTGTGAGTCCGCATAGGTGTTATTCAAAGCTTTTTCGCTAACTCTATGTCACTTAACGCTTGACAAAGTTGGAATTGAACGAATGGAACAAGTGGTGAACGCTCATAGCTTCTTTCGTGAAGTTGTTCCGCAAAAATGAAGATGTAGATTGGAAGTCAGCTTTCAAAGACGCGTCTAGTGATATATTAGATCGGCCCGGAAGTTTTATCAGTTTTTTGAAATGGCTCTCAAATTCTGTACACTGAAGATGAACATTTCAAGTTGTATCCGATGCAGAATTTCTTCCTCTTTCCAGCTGCTATATACTCACAATAAGTGTGATTCGCTGAAAGAGTGCTGAGATAATTGCTGGAGATTACATCCCGATTTTCACCATCTCCAATTTTCGCTAATTTTCAAAAATCTTATATGAGACTATTGGGGAAACTTCAATAACTAACAGGTAGGGAAACCTTTATAAAATATAAAATTCATATATATGGCTCATAGAAAATTTTTGCCAACTGCAGCAGTTTTTTGTAGCTCTGTGGCTAGTTTTTTAGAATTTCTAAAATATATTTTTTTGAAGTGACCAAATTTTGATTCAACCTCTAACCTCGTAGAACATGAAATGGTAAACATTCAGGTACCAATCGATGCAACATTTTCTCCTCTTTCGAAGAGTTATGTTTCTTGGCGACATATATTAGGTTGGTTCATAATTAATGCACGTTTTTCCTACCTCTTCTTTCAACACTAGTTTTCAATCAAAAATCGTTCTTCTCTAAAACCATCTAAACTATCGGAAAGCTCGTTTCTTCTACTTTCGAACATATACTTTCATTTTCGGAGATCTTTGTTCAGAGCGAAGTTAAGTGTCTTTAAAAGTGAGGGCCAAATCAAGAAAATGGAAATTCTCGCGTATTTGCCAAAGTGATGCTTTGCATTTCCCACATAAGTAGTTGTATACTACAGGCCTGTAGAAGTATGATCGGCTCCCAGATTCGTGTGGAGGTGTATTGCAGACTTTGCCTGATTACACATGTAAACTTACTAAACCCCCACGTCATAGCATTGCTTTTCGTAATCTCTCGCTAGCAAAAACCGCCACACGGTGAGTTGGCAAGACTCCACCTCCACACGAATCTAGGAGCCGATGTTACAAACGCAAATTTTCAGCTCTCTATAAGCTTTAGTTCTCGAGTAATATCGAATATAGTTTTCCCTAGTTAGGTAGTCCAAGCTAAAATTCACGTTTCTCGAGAATTAAAGCTTGTAGAGAGCTGAAAATTTGAGTTTGTACTTTTACAGGTTTGTAGTATACAACTACCTATGTGAGGATGGCACAGCATCACTTTAACAAATGCACAAAAATTTCCGTTTTCTTGATTTCTAACAGAAAAAAATACGGCAACGACGTATTTAGATGCCGTTTGTGTATAGTGTTTATGAGAGCGAGTTAGAATTTTTGTAAGATTTTTATGAACTGACTTACGATTTTTCTCGATTTTTCGGGCATTTGGGTCTTTTTAGTTTTTGGCTTAAAACTCGAGCTGTATTAAAGCGCTGTTGCTAAAGCGAGAATACCGTCTTGTAGAGCTTGCTTTGCTCTGTAGAATGTTACTTTGCAGTCTATCTACAAATGAGAACTTTATAACTTAATGCAGTTGAAAGTCAAAACGGGCATTAATTTCCGGACAACCTAATACAATATTTGCAGGAAAAATTGCAGTATTTCTCTATTTCACAGTGCGCACTGACGTACCCAAATTTCGTCTTTTAAATCGAAAAACACCCTAATACTTTGTGAGGTCAGTGATAATAATAAGCGAGTCTTGAAACCTCATCAATCAGAAGACTCTGCAGTGTTTGGTGCAATAACAGGTTTTGCGATTTCAAACCTCAAGACTTTTGGAAAATTATTTTGAAAATCCTAAAAGAGTCCCTGAAAAAAAGTAAAAAAATTGCTCCATTTGGCAAAAAGTGTTCCCTACCTGTTAGTTGCTGAAGCTTCTCCAAAAGTCTCATACAAAAATTTTGAGAGTTAGCGAAAACTGGACATGGTGGAAACGAAGGCTTGCGATCTCCAGCGATTATCTCAGCATTCTTCTAACGAATCGCACTGTAAATATAGCACCCCCGAAAGATGAAGAAATTCTGCATCGGACACAACTTAAAATATTTCTTTACGTTTGCTGTACGGAGTTTGAGGGTCATTTCAAAAGACTGCAAAACTTTTGGACCGACCTAATACATCACTTTTCGATTTGCCAAATCAAACTGGGATCCTTCCCTTGTAAGACGATTATTCACAAGCAAGTGGAGCCTCAACAAACGACACTTCTCGTATTGAACAAAATATTTGCAATACTTTTTAGTTGTCAGTCTCGTCAAAGGAAATAGATAAGAGAGTTGAACTTGACGCAGACCAACAAGTTGTACAAGTAAGTTCCACATTTAATTTGTTTGTTATCCAAAGGAGTGAGAGGGATAGAGCTAAAAAAAGTGTTTTTCCTAAACTGGCCAGATAAATACAGTCTATGCGTATATAAAGCAGAGTGTGGTAAATTGTTAGCTAGTATGTTCTTTACAATAGATTTTGTGTGTGAAACGATCAGCGCCAAACTTTACACACATATGTTTGAGACACCGGTCCACAGTCTATTTTTCGCAGCGAAAATCCCACTCATTCTAATAATTTATTGATTTTGAAAAAAATTATCAAGTACTGTCAAAGCGCTTCCAATTTTTATGTAAGCAATAGTGGTAAAACTTATTTTCGTTCCACGATGAGGGCGTTGCGTGATTCACGGCGATGCGGTCATCAGATATCTGTCCTCTGTCCGAGGAACAGAAGGAAGAAAGAACGCAGATAAGTTGAGCCTATAGAAGGGGCCGCTAAAGTTCTTCTTTTCGCATTAGGAGTTCCATCTAAAATCGTCGCCACTACACGGGTTTTGGTCACAACAGGTGCGGTGGCCACTCGCCGCGCTCAAATCTTGTGCCTAACAAAATAACAAAGTAATGGGCTGTGCCTCTTCGGAAAGTGGCGCAGCGCTGAGTCGCTTCGCCAAGATTCATGACTCCTGACTCGTACCCGCGTTCCCACGCCTGGGGCGCTATGTATCAATCTCAGGATCGTGTGCTGGTTCAAGATCTGGCAATTTCACGATCTTGAACCAGCACACGATCTGCCGCGGCGCCCGCGATGTATCAATGTGTGCGCAAGATCGTGTAATTACACGATGTGCGGTGTCCGTGTGCGCCAGGAACCCGGACTGGCGCATAGCGAGTGACCGCGCTGGCGTCAATGCGAAGTGACGCTCTACGCTCATTTCACATAAATTTCAGTGTGTAGCGCCTTCCTTCGTTTCAAATTTCCTCTTTTTTCTTGTGCCGCCATAATCTGCATTCCAAAGTTCTTCTATAAATTTCGAATTTTTTGGTTAGAGAATTTCGCACGTTAACACACGACCAAGGCGTTTCGCGGATCAGCCAATATTTTCTAGATAAAATCACGCACTATTCCATTTACTACACCTACAGTAACGCTGGCATGCTCGAAAAAACAGTAAAGATTGTGTCTAGATTCAGCATAAAAGAAAACATCCGGGGTGGGTTTGGCATAAAATAGTAGCCACGTCAATGTGTTAACCAGCATTTGCGGTACTTAGCATGTTTCCGTACTTTTATGCATGATCATGACTCTTTTCAGATGAGCTCCATGGTTTGAATCCCAAAACTAAGGCGGTTGTTGTGTGAAGGACGGACTACAAAACAACGAATCACCATAAGTGTCCTGTTCGCAACTCATCAATCTGCACATTTTTTCGAAATTTCGTAGCAATTTGAGGTGCGCTGTGGTTTTTTCACCTTCACTTTGATTTTCACCTTCACCTTGATTTTTCTCTTAATGATAAGTTACTCGCTGGCAAAACAGCTCGCTAGATTTGAAAAAAGAACGGGCGTTTTATAAGTGTCTTCAAAGGCGGAGCATGCTATTTTGCCTTTATGAATAGGTGGTGTTGATGGCTTCCCTTCAACGTTTTTGACAGGTTATCCCCGAGACCTTTCTCTTGAATAAGGAGCAGCAACGTGTAGGAATAGAAGCTAGATCCCGTATCATCCACCTACAGTCGCTTCATTTCATATGATCATGTTTGTCATTGCACACACAGTTCACCTTTGGCGTCCCCATCCTGGATTCGTGGGAGAAACAAACCTTCAGGTAAGTGTTTCCAAGGTGTTCTTTGCATTTTCTTTCCTTTTTAGTTACTAGTCACCTCAAATTGATGTAATCGATAATAATCGGTAAGTCTCTTGCGTTTTTGCGATTGCAAATCCAGGATGAGGACGCCAAAGTGGACTGTGTGTGCAATGGCACACATGATCATATGAAATGAAGCGACTGTACTCACGCATCCCTCATCATTCATCATCTCTAAATTTATGGTGGCGTCCCTAAGCTCCACTGGACGATGGGATGTTTAGTAACATGGATGGTGAGCAAAAGGCAATGTTTCTATTACAGGTTCATTTAACAATGACGCGGCATCGTCTTATACCCTACCAAAATGCAGAGCAGAACCCGAAAGAGATGGTCATGCTCCGTTTCCTTTGCTACCATGCTGACACTTTATCTGAGTCACTTGCTTCTAAAGGTTAGCTTCTGCATCTTTCTTTCCTCATTTCCTTTAATTTCTGTCCTGCGTTCTATATTTGCTTGTCTGAGTTGCACCTCCGTAAAAATGGTTCTTAGTCTACGGGTAGTACAGTTGAGTCACTCTTTATGGTCATTTGTGTCACCGCACGCAATATCCATGATTGCCGTCCCCATACGTTTTCTAGCCTCAGGTGGGATCTCCCGGGCTGTTATACCTGCGATGTCCATTCCCAGTCATAAGCATTTATAGAGCAGAAACTTATCGCGATTTGAGTCTTCACCTTAGTTTGAGCCAAACCGAAAGGGGTCGGCAGTGACATTGTGTGCAGTGAAACATATGATCGTATGGAATAACTCAACTGTAACCGCACATCAGTCAATGCGCATTGCACGTGATAAGGAAGGATACAATTGGAAGCAGAATATTTTCTCGAACAACCAGAACTAGGTGCTCATGGATTGAACGGTAGCGTGTCAATTTTACAAGTGACACAGTTCTTAGAATACTTCTTTGTTGACACATTTTCTAATGCTTTGTTACATTGAGAAATAGGTCCATAATTATTAGGTGCGACCAGAAAAAAAAAGAATTTTTTTCGCACTTGTCAGAAATTCGTTCTATCCAATCTTTTGTATAACTAGCCAGCCTACGCATGCTTTTACCACGTCGAAATTTTGCGTTGAGAGTTCTTATACAAAATCCCGTATATATTAACGTACTTTTTCAAAGTATGGTGCATCCCGCAAAATTGTTCCCATTTGAACCATCAACGCGGCTGTCTTTTAATCATGTTAACATGTCATTTTGAATAAGGGCCTCTAATTCTGGAGTCAGCGTGTTAAAACGATCGAAAGACAGCCACGTTGACGGTTCTCATGGGAAAATTCTGGGGATGCACTATATATGAAGTCCATTGACAATCAACTCTTTATACTTCGAAAGAAATCACAGCTGACCACACAAAATATTCGCCGGCTTGTAAAGTATTTGACCCTCAGGCTTTTAACATGCATCGTGCATGTATATACTGGTTACTTTGCAAATCACATTAAAATAAATACTCTGGCAATATAATCGTAGATTTCTAGACGCTACACAATTGGTTCCACAGTTCGCTACCGACGACTACTTGGTAAATTTACTTGCGGCATCACCCCTTCGCAAAGACACGTAGTCCTACAAAGATAAATGAAAGAACAAAGGCCAAACAGTTGCTTCTGTCTGACATTCATGTATAACCATAAATAATATGTGACACATGAGTAGTGTAATATTGTTTGTATGGAGCTTAACATTGTCGTGTATAGTGCGTCTCTTTTTTGGTATAAAATGTTCACTTATGGACTCCACTCCGATTTATAGCAAGGTGAATCCGTACGATTTCGAGTTCCTTTTCTCCTCGGCCCTTTATCCTCCACAAACATTCTAAGTACCCTCGATATCATCCCATATGTCTTCCCTCAACATGACGTGGATTACGTGGCTTGATGAGGCGCCGCCTCGCCTCGGCCTCGCGCCACGTGCGAGCGCATCTTCGACGTGATGTGGCAACAAGAAGAACGCGGAAAAGCCTGCGCCACGTTGTGTTGAGCGCCACGTCGCGCCAAATGATGCGCTCGCAACGTGGCGCGAGGCCGAGGCGAGGCGGCGCCTCATCAAGCCACGTAATCCACGTCATGTTGAGGGAAGACATATGGGATGATATCGAGGTTACAACATTGAGAATGAGGATATCACAAAAACATGCGCCGGCTGCGAATGAATCAAAAGACGCAGAGCGCTAAACGCTCACTTGTCTAAACCTGTCATATTTGGGCGTAGAGAAAACATTGGACGTAGCGACACCATGAACTTTCACACGTCTACATGGGGAGCACACGATCTGTCGCCGAGCAGCGCACGATCTCGACAGATCGTGCGCTGCTACACGATCTTGTGGCAAGATCGTGTGCTTCATACATCGTGAGATCGTGTGCTCGCACCTGATCTTGGGCATGTTTTCAACGGTAGCGAGCACACGATCTCACGATCGTGTGATTGATACATAGCGCCCCTGATCCTGCTGCTGAATCTCGAGTATCGCACTAGTTGCTTATGCGCCCCTAATGAATTTTCTGACCCGTGGCCAAAACGATACTTCAATGCAAATTTTTGCACAGGACAATAGAGTTTATGAAAATCTGCCAGGATTACCAACTCGATGGATGCTGCAGGTCTTCAAGAAGGGCCGACGGTACTCAAAAGAAGAAAGGCAAGCTCTTCTTTTTTTCTTGGTGTTTTTAACTTGAATTCTGAGATTTGCGCTCTGTCTTTGCGTCTTACTCAGTATGTTCAGTTTTCTTTCTACTTCGTGGTGGAGAAATGGCTCTACGTGACCTCGATCATATTTTTTCAGGTGAAAAAGGCGAGGAAAAAGCTGAAAAGAAAATATGTTGAGGAGACTAGCGAAGATCCCGCTCCATCATCGCTTCAGATAAAGGATACGGTACGACCTAAGCGAAAGGTGTGTGGAACGACGACTTCAACTTTATTTTGAGAATGTTGCAGTTGAAAAAAGTTAAAGATGGTGTCCTCAAAATGCAGTCTGTTAAGCCGCAAACATCTCCAAATGATGCTGAAAAAGATGAGCAATCCGCCGAAGGTGAGCATCAACAAACTGCATAAGTATAGTATGTGGGTGGTGGTTAGTAAAGAGTCTACCTTAGATGTATAGGGCTCTGCGTGATCGCGAGAGTGAATGAGTTCTCCGCCATCGCACACGCAGGATGTCACAAGCTTTCAAACCAGTCAAGACAATAAGTACTTCTCACGTAACCGGGACTATTACTAATAGCAGAAAAGCGTTTGCAAAGGAAATACTTGAAAAGCTAAACGTGCGTGCTGGCCGCAAACTCCTTACTCGCGCGATCATGCAGAGTCCTATACTTTAGCCGATTGTCGCACGCAAAAACGGGACGCCATTGCTGTGTCGGCGTCTCTATGAAGCGCACTTTCATATCACCGTCTGCCCTATCTTCCAGGCCACTAACCCTTTAAGTCGCAACAAAGTGCTGCAAAATGATATCGAGCTTATCCGGAAAAGCCAATTTGACCAAAAACCCCTCCTGTGTTCAGCTTTTCCATCTGTTATCCTGCATGAAAGATGCGTATTCTTTGAGCCTTTTCAGAAGTTGACGATGATAGTGGAGCATCAGATCTCATCGTCGATAATTTGGAGCAACAGCTCGATGTTGATATCGAAGCTTTTCCAATGGAAACTGGCGATAAAGACGGAATTGTCAATATGTTGACTCAAGTAAGGTTATTCTCTGGTTTCGCTAGCAAGGTTCAATTTGTTATTTTGTAAAAAACCTATAATTCTAAAGGTGTTTCTTCAAGCTGATATCGACCTTCCAGCGCTAGCAGACGCAATTATTGCTCAAAGTCCATTCGGAATTGTCATCGGTGTGAGTCTTCCACCAGTCACTAGTTGTTTTCTATACTTTAATACAATTTTACAACTTTACTGATGTCTGTGTTGCACGTTTCATGTCAGCATCTTTCAAGTGTATTCAGTGCATGTTTACTACAACGCAATTATAACAAAGCTTTGGGATCGTTCAGACCGCGCCGGAACCCAAACCCGCCCGAATAGGTCCGAACCCGCCTGAACTGCCAAAGGGCAGCAGATTGCAAAATTGGGGCATATTGGAGCACGCGTGCGATTGATCGTAATATCGGAGTAGTTGCAATAGAAGATCGGTATGCAACGTCGAGCTACTTGTGACTAAGATATATGCACCACGCGCGCAGTATTCTATGCGTGCTCCAATATGCCAGTTTGCTCATATCCGCTGCGCTTTGGCAGTTCCGGCGTTCAGGCGGGTTCGGGCGGATTCGGACGTATCTGGGCGGTTTGGACGTATTCGGGAGGGATTGGACGGATTCTGGCGCGGTCTGAACGATCCCTCCGCAAAAGATTATGCTGGTTGTTAGCTGAGAGTCACAAAAAAAACCTTGAAATTGTTATGCTTTGATAGTTGTTCATGAAAATTGCTATCAAATATGTCTTTCCGCTAACGTTGTCTATTGGTTGCAATGGTGTGGGTTCCATGATCCTCAACGCCGCCCATAACTCAACTCAATTTGTTTTTGATCTTGGTTAGTTCCAGAGATGTCGCTAACTTTGCAAGGTTGCATTAGGCTTTTGCTTGGATTGGAAAGCATTGTTCTTCCAAAAAATATGGGTCTTGAATAATTTTGAACTTCCAGCCAGCTGAAGACCAATGCGATGAAGATAACGAAAACGATGTGTATGGTTTATTGACTGTTATCAGGCTGACATCTCCTAAGGTATGTGATTTTCCGCATTGTGGGTTTGATTGTAGACCTCTATCCCCAGCATGAGATGACAAAGTATGCGAAAGGCGTCATGGACTATGTGGAGAAGAGAGCACAGAAGTATGCATTGCCTAACTTTCGCAGCGCATATGATGCCTTGCAAACAAAGCGCACAGGTCTCTTCGTTAACGAAAGGATGTTGAACTTCCCCACTCAAATTGTTTCTCCTTCGTTCAAAAGTCTCAGGTAACCGTAGCACCTTTAATTGTAGTGTGTTTATTGATGTGTAACTAAGACTTTCTAGGTCTGACTATGATAATTTGAAAAAGCCGTTTCAAAATCTGATCTATGTGCACAAATTACGCATCGCTGATTCCAAACCAGCTGTTGCCGTTGAAAGTAATGGTAGTGCGCAACCAGCGAAGAAAAAGAGGAAAATGGGAAAAGCCGAAAAGGTTTGAAAAATGATTTGTTTCTGTCTAATACTTTGTCTAAACCTCTCTTTTTCAGAAAAGGTTAACCCAAAAAGCTCTGTCGACGGCCGAAATTATATATGACAATGTGGAGGATGAGTTACTGATGCAAGTCAGTCGTCTAGTTCGAAATTTATTAATCGAATTTGTTAAAGTGTTGGATTCAGTTGGAAGAGGGCGAAGCTTGTCATTTTGATATTCCTGTTCATACCGAAATAGATGGTAGCAGCAAGTTCCATACTCTCATCAGGAATGGAAAGTCGTTCAAACCATTTCGCAGGATTGTAATCATGGACAACCAGCGGTGAGCTAATATGGCTAAGTTTGTGTCAATGAAATTGTACTTGTTTTGCAGGTTCAAAGCCTTTTTGGATCATGTGAGTATGTCATTCTGACCTCCCGCTTGTTAGTGGAAACTATCAAATAGTTTTGCATGTTGTTGAGTTTGATCGTTGTTTTTTCTGTTATACTTGCTAAAGCAATCCTCAAAGAAAAATGTGCGTTTATGTGATGTCAATAAATTTATGATTGTTTCTATCATCGCACTGAATATTTGGCGGTCAAAGCTGATTCTCCTTATCTTCTCTCCCGTCTCAATCCCGTCCCTCTCTCATATTGACCCAGTGCTAAGTTGAACACCTTTACCTTTTTGAGACTCCCTTCGAATGACAACAAGAAATGAGAGCAATTGCAAAGCATATTCAAAATAATGGATCTGAACATGGAGTGAGGTGATTTTTCGGTCTCTGCAAACGACCGAAGCGTTCAGTATTGTATAGTGGAAAGTCGAAATCACAAATTTTGCGCCAACTTTCTTGGAGTTGTTTGGACATGAGACTCATTTTTTGGCTTTTCTTGGCAACGGGACTACGGTAGTCTAACGGAGTACCTACTTGTATGCAACCACTTGTCCCTTGTTTTCGGCGTATCCCGTAGCTGTTTTGAACAATGTCCCATCAACGGACTACACAAAAGTTTCTTCTGGGCTGCGCCCCAAGCATGTGCCATATTCTCATGAAGAATCATATTCGAAATCAGAGCATCCATCAGATCGTATGCGAAAGCCCGACACGTGAGGCTCAACAATGATTTGGAGCTGTATCGATTCAATAGGTTGATACGGATGTTCTGCCGCATCATTTTTGAGAAATCATAACTCCTTGCTCTCTCAACGGATTTGCACAAACTTAGTCTTGCTAGGCAGAGGAGACCCTTTTCTTTGTGACGGTGCCTTTGCTTGAGATGGAAGTAGGAGAATAAAATTACTTACGCTCATTTTGAATTAGGCTGCCAAAAAGCTGTAACTTGCGATAAAATTCCGAGCAAGCAGCATAAGTCTTCTGATCCGCAATTTCCAATAGTGCAGAGTTTTTGTCAAATGACCACCTCTGTATAGAGTTATGATTTTCGAAAAAAAAAACCAGAAATCAAATCTGTTTCGTACTTTCTTACCCAAAATTATAACACTGCCCAGAGATGCTCTTTTAGCACAAATCCTGGACTGTTGGAAACTGGGGATCACAAGACTTACTACACTGCTTTCGCGATTT